TATTATAACTCAATCATAAATCAAGAACAACAAACAATTTCCTATTTGAAAAAAGCGGATAATAATGCTGTGTTGTCCACAGTGGTTCATTGTATATATGTTTTTATTGTAATTAATTGAGGTGTCCATATCTTATGTCTTAATTTGAAAACGGGTATGTGCAGTTTATGTCTTTGTTAACCCTGATTGGGTCATTAAAATAAAGCTATGTAGCAGATGTGGGCCACTTCAGAGAATGATACAGAACCTCTGGTCTTTTTGTGGCGCGGACATAACAGATGTGAGCCTAAAGTTGTCTTCTCGTAAAAGAGCAAATGTGGCCTAAATATCCCAAAACAAATGTTGGCCTACTTTGGAAAACATGTGGTGCCCTCGGCAATGTGTAATCTGGATGTGAACCCATGTGGCCCATGTGGTAAATTATGTATATGGCCCGAGTAGTAGAAAACAAATTCGGGCCACCTTTGGCACCTGTGGTTGACATGCAGTATCGCTATGGCTTACTTGTGGCCTAGATCGGGTAAAAAGGAGTGGACGGCCCAAGTGCTATCATTTCTGTGGGCTGTGTGTCGGATGTATGGGATTGAGATTTTGCATTTTGAGGGAAAAAAACTTCAGCACTTTCATCAGATTACTTAATCTCACACTTTTCTAAATTGATACCTACCTGTTCAAAAGATGCGAGTCATGAAACAGTTAACACTCAGTAAAGTGTTTACGTCCGCCAATAGTTCCCTTACAACGAGTCAAGCTGCGCCAAACATCAAACACAGAAATCAGTTCCTAAATATGCCAGATTGAATATCAAGATCCACACCACACCCTTTCACCAAGTTTCATCAAATCCATTTTGTTGTTTTGTGTAATCTTGCTCACAAACAAACAAACGAAACGTGACCTCTTTGGTAAAAAGATATTTAACATGTGTTTGTTTAAAAGTCAACAGCTGTATATCAAGATTTTTGTGCCATTTTACACATGGGTGGCTCGTATGTGACAAAACTGCATGAATTAGATTTGACTGAGCGACTGTTAGTTGGAATAAATTTTGTTTTATTATTACTTCTATCATTTTTCCTTGATCTGAGTCGTACTTAAAGAAACCTTGATGCGTCGAGTTTTCAGTCACTGTATTAACCTGGTCCGAGTACAGACTGTTCACTCAGTGATCCAGCTTCATCTCTATGAAACTGTTTCATCATGGATTTCATTTTCATTTCATTTGAAGCCAAACAAAGCAAACAAATTTGTGCATGTGTGTGTGTCTGTGTCTACGTAAAAGAGTTGTGTGCATGTGTGTGTCTTTAGCCTGTGTTTAGAAAATACTTACTGTTCACATGTTTATACATATGTGTGTGTGACTTGTGCATTTATAATTATATGCTTGATAATTGCTTTGTGTGTGTGTGTGTGTGTTTGGGCGTGTGCTTGGCGGCGTTGGGATTAGGAATCGATTAAGAGGAAATTGGACTGCAGGGAGGCGGGGGATGTAGGGAGGAAGAAGGGAGGAAGGGATGAGGGGAGGGAGGGAGCCGGGGCTGATGGGGAGGCCGCTCAGCTCCGGCAGCAGCAGCAGCCAGTGGCATGATTACACAGTGCGTCCAGAGCAGGCCGGCCACCAGCTTGTTTGCTGGGGATTAGAGAGGAAAGAAATGAATCATATTTCTAAGTCCTGAGTGTATCTGAGTCTGTGTCTGTGCCTCACAGTCCATATGCTGCTGAGGGATTACAGGAGCACGGCATGGGGTCTATCTATCTATCCATCTATCTATCTATCTTTTCTATCTATCTATCTATCTAGATATCTGCCTATCTATATCTATCTATCTATATCTATCTATCCATCCATCCGTGTATACATATGTAAGTGTAGTCTACAGCAGGTTGTGGACTGATCAGTGTTGTTCTGTGTCACCAGCTCTGTGTTCTCAGTCTATACATCCCAGTCAGGGTCTTTACAACCTGACAGTAGAAAAGTACAAACAACCAGTAGAGACGTACTGTAATAGCGGTCAGAGGTGAACGTCTCATTGTGTAGTACTTAACAGTTTGCATGAAAGATTAGACAAGATGTGCAGGTTTGGTGGCTTTCACTTCAAGTTGTGTTTAGGGTTTGATGAAACAGAAGGTAAATGAAGCCACACTCAGCCCGGAAGAAAGAGAGGAACACACTTAAACCTATGAATGATCTAACATTAACCAACAGGCCAAAATTAATAATAAGTATTTGTCAGGTTTTTTTTGCCTTGACTTATAATTAACAGTCAAGTCGATCAGTCAGTATCTTCGCTTTTGTGTTGTTCCTTCGAATGTCATAGTGTCATGCATGTTATCACTATATATTATATCACACATTTATCATGGAAATTAATGTTTTTGATTCAGGTTGAGTCACTTTCACTCAAGTACTTTTTATTTAAACTTATTAAGTTCTTCTGAACAAATTTCTTTCATCGCTGAAGTTTTTTCCGGCTGAAGTTGAACAGCCACATAGTTTCCCTTTTATTTATTAGCTTTACTCAAAAGTTAAAGTTAAATTAAGAACAGTTTTTAAATCATTGTAGTTCTTCTTTTGCTACAAAAAATGTTATTATTATTATTGTTATTCTAATTATTATAGTAGTAGTAGTAATATTCGTATTTGTATTAGTATTACATTGGTGTATTGTTTTATATTGTGTCATAGTGATTCAAGGCCCATTTGAAAAGAGATCTCCACACACCACAGGCTAATAGCATGACTAAAACCTTTCATGGGTGCACTTCTCTCAAACCCTGTGGAGCTGACCCTGCGGCCTCTTGGCAGCAGGAACACACTGAAACGTTCAGCAATCCAAAAATAATCTGCCCATCTCTCATACTTCAGTTTGGGGCTTGTGGAGCGCTCGGACTCAGTATTATGGTTAGTTCTAATCTGTATTCTGTCCTCATGCCCTGCTCCCTCTCATCTCTCTGCCTTATACCCACTCAGCCTCTTGTATGGATTAGTGGAACGCTCCCAGAAACAGATTCCCCATCTCCTCTCCTCTCATGTGGACATCAGACATTCACATTTTTTTCCTGCAGCTGTAGCACTAAAATGGCAGAACTATGGAAGGATAACACAGTTCCGAGGTGAAGCTCGCAGCCAATGTTCAGCATTGATTTACAGAAGTCAGTGACGACAGAGTTTTAATGAAGTTGTTTAATGTCTCAGAAACATCATAGCTATCTAGCATGGTAGTGGTGAGACTGGTCAAACACAGGAGACAAATGAAACATACAAAAGAATTCATGTCAGAAAAATAAGCAGAGAAGATTATAGTAATGCAAAAGATAAAAGTACAGTAAATGATTAAGAAGCATGAACAGCATTGTATCCTATTACTGCTACTTTTATTGGATAAACCCCTGAGTTTGAAAAAAAAGAAAAACAACAGAAGAAGCAGAAACCAGAAAAATATAAAGAGAAAAAATAAAAAGTTGGCAGTTTTCTAGAAAGTAAGAAAGTGAGAATGTGTTGGGTGGAGCGGCCTGTGTGAATACACATTGCTGATACCACACATGATTGCATTTTCAAGTTTTAATATTTACAAAATAACGACAAAAAAAGAACATTATCAATGTCTGTGTCAGCTGAAGACATAATATTAATGATGATAGTAATAATACTGATAATAATGTCAACTTCAAAACAAATTACCACAATTTTTACTTCAACGAATTCACAATTTTTTTTTAACATAATATTGTTTAAGTCTAATACAAAAAAAAACAGACAATACATCAAACACATAAAGTGGTACCCATCACATCTTTACAGGTTGGAGTTGAGAGAGGCACCACACTCTCTGTGCAAAGGGGGGGCTGCATGGCGGCCCAGTCCCTTCCCTTTCTCTCATGCAGCCTTCTCTCCCATCAGACACCTCGCTAAAGCAGTTCACAAAAAGCAACAAAATAATAATAATGATGATGATGATGAAGTCATCTGCAGATTCAAGAACTGCTTCAACGATCCTCTAAATTCGTGGAATGGAGGGGGAAAGTACTCGGCTGCCAAGATCCACAATGTGACCATTGTTGCCCGAATTGTCTGGAAGTGATCCTATTAAACTAACAATGTACAAGCCGTTCCTGCTAATGATTACAACCATGCTCAAAGGCAACAGGTTAGTACTGCAGTCACAGTGGTGACCAACGGTCTACCCCCTCTGCTCGTATCATACACAGGCTGCAGAGGGTCAGTATCATACAAGGCTACTGGGAATCATCAGCGTCCGTCTGCTATGCACTTGAATTATTGAATGGGCGGCCATCCTGTGAAGACACCCCTGTCAGGTGTCTGCGTGCAGGGGTCAGTTGTGTAGTTTGGCTCAAAGCTTTTTGAGTCAGCTCTGCGATGAGAAGCAGCTTCTTCCAAGAAACACATCACAGAACGTCTACGAGACAAAGTCTATAGGAGGAAGAAATAAACACAAGCTCGGGATCTCATCAGTCGAACGTGTCGATTCAAAGGTTGTCTAAACTTGTGGGTCAAAAAATATCTAAGCTCAGCTTCAAATTCATCACCGTCAATCAGAGCAAATACAAAAAGTCTTTGATTTAAAGGATTCATTCTGCATGAGAAAGGCCTCCTCAGCTTCAGATGTTTCATTTGATTTGTCTTGTCATTGGTAACAGTTATACTTAATTTAAGTTGCAGAATTAAAGCTGTTGTTCTTTCTAGGTGATTTCATCTTGTTATCTTTTGCAGCCATTCTTTGATTTCGAGGCTGATTTCTACACAGTTGAACCCTAACACTCTTAGTTCCACACATATTTTTCTGAAAAAGCAAAACTGAAGAGATATTTTTCAGCTGATCGGTTCTTCAGCTGATATGATTAATAACTGATATCTGTGTCCCAAGTTCTCCTCCTCCTTCCCCAATAAAACACCAGAAGTTATCTTGGGTTCGTTTTTTTGTTTTTTTTATCCCCCTTCCCCACCTCTCACCTCCCCTACCTCCCACCTCCCCTGTTATTTACAAGACCTGGAACTTCCAGGAGTTCTGGTCCTTGTAGTCCAGACAGTCAGTGGCATTGAAATTGAGCTTCCAGGCAGCTTGGTCCTTGTAGTCTAGACAGTCGACAGCTCCAAAACCCAAGGAGGCAGCAGTGTAGCCCTGCGAGGTGAGGGAGGCCGGGGACTGGCTGAGGGGCCCACCCATTGAGGAGGCCGTGATGGGGCTCAGGGCTCCTCCGGTGCCCGACAGCTGAGGGTGCATGGGGGACAGGTAGGAGCTGCAGTCCAAGCCTGTGAAGTAGGAGGAGGTCCCCGCGTAGCTCTGGCTGTAGGCGGGAGCCTGGGTGTAGGTCATGGGGTAGGCGGTGGTGCGCTGCATGCAGGGGGTGGTGGAGGCAGACAGGGGGTCTGGCAGCGGAGAGATGGAGGCAGGGCTCCAGATGGACACCGTGGCACTAGCCGAGCTCGAGCTGGGGGTGATGGCGGTGCCGGGAGGAGGGGGTTGGGGGCTGTAGGGTCCATTGGTGGCGTTGGCACTGGCCTCGGCGTTGGCCTCACGGGCAGGGGACGCCTTCTTCTTAGGGGGCCGTGGCTTGGACTGGCCCGTGCTCTGCTGCTGCTGCTGGCGGCACTTGGCACGGCGGTTCTTGAACCAGACCTGGAGGAGGTTAGAGAATTGGTACTTTATCATTAGCGATTTCTTTGCATCCCAACACGGTTGTCTGGTGGATGACATGAGTAGTGAGTGTGCACCGATGTGTGCTGTGGGTTACCTGCACTCTGGACTCGGGCAGGTTGATCTTCAGGGCCACCTCCTCCCGCATGAAAATGTCTGGGTACCGGGTTTTGGCAAACAGAGCCTCCAAGATGTCCAGCTGAGCGCGCGTGAAGGTGGTGCGCTCCCGACGCTGTTTACGAGGGGTGTCTATAAAAAAAACATTTTAATCATTATTATTATTATTATTAAGAAGACTCCTAAATGAAAATTGCTTTATTAAAATCCAATAAACGTCTATTACAGGTTTATATATTGGAAAAACGATTATTCTAATTAGTATTAGCTCATTAAAATGGTCCAATGTATTACTTTATTTTAATGCTCATCTGGTTTTATTAATAAAAAAGGGCAAAAAATAAAATGGCGATTGCTTGTGAATTTAGAAAATAAATTTAGATAAACTATAAACATGCTGCTCATGTTTTTAAAATGCGGATTGAAAGAATTGACCGATTATGTCGATTATTAGAAATTATTAACGAATAAATGTTGAAAAAAAACAGATAAACTCAAATAGATATTAGTTGAAGCTCCAGAAAGTCTCTGTGATTGAAGCATCTTATTGGATCGAATGAAATGATTTAACGCATCTTCTTGTTTTGTGATTGTCAGATGAGACCGTCAGAATCGAAATATACAGTGAGAGCAAACGAAAGTTGCTCCACGTCACAGATTTTTGGGGGGAAAAAATCGATTCAACATCTAATCTGCGACAAGAGGGCCCAGCTTTGTAACACACGCCTGATGCCACCGGTGCCAAACCCCGGCATCATCCACAGCCTCCTCTCAAGGATGACAGATGCTGAGCAGGTCATGTATCCGCACCGACACAATATAAGTTAAGTATTCATGCCACAAAAAAATTTAAACACAATGAGCCTGCTCCTGTATATAGGTTACACGATAAGAGCAACAGATTGAGTCTGCGGTGATGTTAAGTCTGTGTGAGAACACGCTGCGTCTCCATTCACACACGTTTTTTATTGTTTTTTGACTCTGTAATCCGCTGAACTTATAGGTCAAGTGAACACATGTTCTGATGCCTGAAGAATCACACACACGTATTCGTCCACATAAAGCACAGGCAGCTGTATTGAAAAAAACATCGTTCTTTTTTTCGCAGATATTTTACGCATGAAGATTAACAACATTTTCAAAAAAAAAATAACCTGAATTTTAACATATTCACTTCAAATAACGATGCAAAGACATAAATAAAATAGATTGAAAATAAACGATAGAAACACACAGTTGGAGAACACGGGATCTTACTTACTGGGATATCCAACGGCGGAGTGGAGCAGATCCATGCCCGGGCCGGACAGCGTTAACCCGTTCACGGCGTAATGGGGTTGCTTAATGTAGGACATCATGCCTCCTGCCGGCTTTAAAACACTCCCTCACTTCCTCACTCTCTCTCTCCTTCTCTCTGACCGGGGGCCGGGTCTCCGAGCTAGTCTCCAGGGGGTGTCTCTCTCTCTCTCTTTCTCTCTCTCTCTCTCTCGTTTTTTCCTCCCTGTGTCTCCCTCCCTCCCTCTTTTAGCTTTTACTCTGGGTTGTTTGTGACTAAGTTGTTGTTTTTCCCCTGCGGACCCTCTCCTTTATCTCTGTAGCTTCCTCTCACTTAGTGCCGTCGAGCCTGACACCTGCCTGTGTAGTTCTAACCTGCGTAAAAACTACCTGTGCACCTGCGTCCACCTGGTGCGTAAAATCCCAGCAGATTTCGGACCTCGCTGTATATTATACGCTTCCTCTGCGCAAACACGACGACAACAAACAACTCAAATCAACGGAACACTATGAGCTGAAACACCACATCGAGAACGACGAAGGCTGACCAAACTAGAGCCGTGCTATCATGCAGTCGCTCCAGCCAGAGTCGTGCGTAATTGCCCGTGCGAACCGACCTCGCCAGGTGAAAGGTGCCAAAAAAAGCAGCAGCAGGTCCAAAGCAGTTCGGCCCGTGTGCGGGAGCTGATGAGAGCTGAAACGGAGCGTGGGCCCTGGTCACTGAGGAGAGGGTGTGATCTGCAGGGTGGAGGACAAGTGAGCCGAGCGAGAAGAGACTGGCTAATTAGAAGTAACTTCTTACCCAAGTAGACACCCAGAGCCCTCCTCCCTCGACCCCCCCTCCTCTCTTTCTCTCTCTCTCTCTCTCTCTCTCT